GTTTGTGAAAGTGTTATTGGAAAGATTGGATGATATTCACCATGAAGTGCGTTCGAACTTGAAAACGTCTGCTGATTCCATGAAGTTATGTTATGATAAGAGATCTACTGAAGTCAGTTTTGTACCAGGAGACAAGGTGTGGTTGTATAATCCCAGGCAGACCAAAGGGAAGTCTCCTAAGTTGTCTTCTCCATGGGAAGGCCCATATGACATAGTGGATCGTCTCTCAGACGTGACTTTCCAGATAAAATGTGGTCGGCGAGGTAAGCCAATTAAGGTGGTGCATGCCAACAGGCTTTGGCATTATCATGTCCAGGACATTTCAGTTGGAACGAAGTGAACAATGAAACAAATGACACTTCTGAAGACGTGTCACCTGAAAAAACCACTGTCGAAGAAGAAACTGTACCCGGTTTTGAGAAGGGAAACAGTGAAGCCCTTGATGAAGTTACTACCACTGATGTGACTGTTACCGATAATAGGACGTTTCCTGATGAAGCAGATGAACCCCACATGAAGCAGAAGCCAACAAAACGGAGACCAGTACGAAAGAAGATACGTCCCGTAAAATTAAGAGACTTTGTTTAATTTTAATTTTGTGTTTGTAAATTCTGTACATTTAATTAAGTTATTGTTAATTGTTTATTGGTTTAATGTAAGTGGCTATTGTTCGGGACGAACAATACTAAGGAAGGGGCAGTGTTACGACAGCGGGGGTCACGTTACGCTAGTAACACGTCATATTCTCGAACGTTCACGTCCCTTCCTGAAGTCTCGGGAGTTTACTAGATTTCGGTATTCTTGTACATATAAGACGGTCAAGACGTGAAGGCAACAATGTGTGTAATTGAACTGCGGACAGAGAGAGAGTATTATTGAGTCGAGCACGTGAGACGTTCGTTGTGAATAACAGCGTTTGTTATAGCGCGACTGTGGAAATTAAGTGTATTGCAAAGTTGTATTCAGAAAGAATAAACCAGTTTTATTTAACAAAGGACTTGTGTCGCTAAAGTTTCATTGGAAAGAACTTTTACGGAAAATTAACTAACGAATGGAGTCGTAACAATATGATGGCAATTTTTTCAAAAGCATATTAATTAATTACATCCGTTCAGATTTTTGGTAAAATTTCTGGGTAATTTTAAAGTAATTTATTAACTTAATTACATGCGTTAGCATTCCATTGTCACGACCACTTTATGTTGAAAGGCAAGAAAAACGGGAGGTCTACTTTAGCGATTCCTGTTTCTCGGGTTTTAATTACCCACAAATCATTTCAACATTACAATGCGCATGTGCTCAATCGTCATATGTTCACGAAAGATTTATAATATATCATTATTTGATTGTTGACTTATAAATTATTTAATTCTTGTAATATTTTGAAATTTCACGCATAATGTTTATGTTGATAATATTTCCATGATTTTATGGAAATCATGATTAGCTGTGGACTGTTTTAAATGATTTAAAGTTGTATACAGCGAATTTATTACCAAAGCAATACTTCAATCTGTTTTGGTCCCAGAGTAGTACGACTACTAGTACTGGTACTAGTTCACCTTCAAAGTTGAATTTCATGCATTATTTCTTATGTTGTATAAGTTCATTTAAAATTGCATGTATGATGTTGCTACACGTAGAATACAGAATAGGCAACTTAAGTGAAATGCTACAAATTATAATGCTAGCCAAAACTGATTTAGGCTTATTAAGTTAGACAAGTGTTTTTTATACATATAATTTATAAGTTATAATGCATTGGAGAAGCAGTTGGTTGTGATATTGTATTGTATCACCAATATTAATGTTATTGTATCAGTGATAAATTGATAGTCATTTTTTTTCTATGAACGTGAAACCAGTTTTTAGTTACATTTGATAGTGTGGATCGTTATGAACATTTGAAAAACTCATTAGGTTTAATGAAGGAGGAATAAATTGAATTCTTGATTTGAAGTCATTACAAAAGTAAATAATGGATTCAAGTCCAACCTCATCAAACTCCTCTAGGCTTTCACCAATGCAAGAAACTGTTTATGGGACTAATAATGATGATAATCATGTTGTTGTATCTGAAAAGGTGCAAAACCTAGCTGGAAGTATATATCAAGAATTTCAGAAAATGATTGCAAAGTATGATGAAGATGTAGTGAAAGAATTAATGCCACTTACAGTAAATGTATTGGAAAGTTTAGATTTAGCATACATGGAAATTCAAGAACATGAAGTCGAATTAGAACTTTTGCGTGAAGATAATGAACAGTTAATTACACAATATGAAAGAGAGAAGCAGCTTAGAAAAAGTTCAGAAAAGGTGAGTGATAAAGAAATAGTAATGAAATGAGGAAAATGTAATTACCAAGCATTATATGTATTGGATCCTGGACCAGGATATGTATAGTTGTTTCTTGTATTCAAGTCAGTGATATTTATGCACATTTTTCAAATTATTTTGTAAAATCATAATCTAAGGTAAATATAGATGAATTTAATTAAATCTTGTGAAATCAATAACAACAGATTAGCTCAGATGTTTGCCTTAAATTGGCATATGTTATAGAAAGCAAATTTTGTAAATAACATAATTACTTCAATTTCAAAGGTTTTGTTTGATACATTTTTGGATATTTACAATAATTATTTATTCTGGGACTTTAGTGTATGTATTTCGATCATTTGCTTCTTATGCCGCTGTTATAGACAGTTTTTTTACCTTTTGGTACTTTTGTTGTATTTATGTTTCATTTCTGTTAACTGGTGATCATTTGTGAGGTAATAACTGTGTTAAAGTTGTTATATAGGAGACATCAATAACTGATCCTTGAGGGCTCCTACACTATATGTATATAACATGATCTAAAAATAAACAGATACAAACCTGAGATTCGTCAAGCCAGCAATCAAGGAACATGAGATAACATGTAACAGATCTAGAATACATACACACATGTATATATATATATATACTTATATTTTAATGTCAACAAAAGACCTGTTTGTCTTTCTAAGCTATTCCATCCATTATACTAAACTCTAAAATACAAATAACACACTTAAAGCTAGTCTTTATCATTCAAATATTTATCAAGCCTCCCCTTAAACTCCTGTAAAGTAATTGCATAAACCATATTTGAAGGCAACCCATTCCAAAGGTGAACCATTCTTTTAGAAAAATAAAGCTGTTTTAGCTGAAGATGACTTCTACCCTGACAAAATTTATATGTGGTCTCTAGTCTCATCAGTAAGTACAAAAAAAGATGATGCATCAACACTATCAGGTCTCATAATAATTTTAATCAATTTGGTCAGATCCCTTCTAACTCTCACTAATTTCAAGAAAAACAGTTTCAGAGAGCTTAACTTATTCTTTTATGACAACCTTTCCATCCCAGGTATCATCTTAGTATGCCCTTCTCTGAACCCTTTCTAAACAAATTAGTGTCATTTCTAAGGTAAGGAGATCGAGACTGAACACGGTACTGTACATGTGGCCTAACCAATGACCTGTGCAATGATATTATAACCTCTTGTATTGACTTGTGTTCTGTATTTCTATAGATTTTGTGTAAAGAAAATCATGAGTTTGGTTTGATGTTTTTTTATCGGGGAATTCTATTATTTCAGAACAAGCTATTTATAACTTGTTTAGGCTCTTAGTTAATTAAAACACCACAATAATCATAGCTTCTTTAAGTTATTTCAAAGGGTAAAAATTAAATATTTTAATTTATCAGACTCCAGTTAAGACAGTTGTATTTTTCTAACACGGTCGTTGGCTTATGGAATGAGTTGATGCTAGCAGTAATGGAGGTGGGCACTTTACAAGAGTTTGAAAGAGGAATTGATGCCTCAGTAGTCATGATTCCTAATTCTAATAAGTCTCCAACAAAAACTACAGACCAATTAGTTTAATAAGCCAAAGGGAAAACTGTTTAAAAAAAATAACTGCTCAACAACTGCTCAGTTTTTTAGAAACTAATCACTTACAGAAATACATAATAGTTTCAGAAAGAACAGAAAAATAAATTTATTGGCTGTCTCATCTGGCTTACTGAAATGATAGTAAAAAGTTATAAATATCAACCCCTCCACTGCAGCTGGTTTCCTTGACATTCAGAAAGGCTGCTACCCAATGTGGCATTATGGGATTAGATATAAATTAGCAAACTACAAAATCCCCAGATTATATTTAAGATACATTTCAGACTCTTTTAAATAACTGATCTGTCAAAATCAAAGGCAACTCGATTCTTTATGCCCACCTGGCAGAGTGCCCCTGGTTTCTGTCATCATCCCACTTGTTTACTTACATCTTATATGATCTAAACATACCAACTGAAGTACAATCACACAATTACGAGCTTTCGAGTGAATTAAATACATATTTGCTGCTCTAAAAAAAGAAATATAACAGAACCACATTAAGATCTATGACAACAAAGTAAAATCCGCTGATACATCAAAATGGCTAGACATTACTTTGATACCAGCTTAACATCAAATAAACACCATAGTTAAATCCATGTCTTACCTCTGTATTCAAAGTCTTAGTACTAATCAAAACTAAACTTTCAGTATACAAAACACTTGTATGTTGCATCGTAGAATATGGACATATATAATTTTCCATAACACATCAGACAGAAACTACCTCAAAAAGCAGAAAATTAAAAATCAAGCATTCAGAATAATAAGCAAACTACTTAAGTACACACACATTGAAAAACTCCATAAATATATCAAACTCCTTTATATAAGAGACAGGTACTTCAAATTAGGTAAAAACTATCTTATAAAAGAAAACACAAAATGTTGCCTATTCAACAAGCAATGTAATTTTCAATTTAAGATTAAAAATACTTTTGTGTATCAGAAAATTTTCAAATTTCACATGCAAAATCTCTATAATGTCCAGATAGTTATCAAATGCTTCATGAGAAAAAAACTTTATATTTTATCTGTTATTTTTAGTAACAAATCTCTGTACGGGTTTGGTTGATTTGACCGATCTCGTAACCACGTTAAAAAAATTAGGAAATAAATATAAATTATGCTTTTTTCATTCTAGAATGACTACAGATTATAACACAAAAACATAAATGTTTAGACTAAATAGTTTAAATCTCATAACATTATTCACTTATATATATTTATTATTTTTATTATATTGACCTTTTAGTTATGCCTGGCTAACAATGCAGAAGTTACAGTGAAGCGGTGCACGTGCACTCATGTTATTGTATCTAATAATATAAAACTGACCGTTAGTATTCACAAAGTGACCTATCTTGCTTTTGTTGTAGTAGACTGGTATTTTATAAAATACAGTCACATTTTAATTATTATACATTATATATGTATATAGATTATTGCCATTTAGAAATAAGCTCTTAAACATATTTTTCTTAAAACACAGAACAGTAAATATAGAAGTAAAGCAAACAATTAGGTCTTCCAGTTACGACCTTTGTACTCAGTTGCTGCTTGATATAGGCTGCTAAGCCTTTTAAAATTTTACACGTGGAGGATGTGAAACAAAATTATTTTTTTTAGGTTTTATATATACAGTTGAATAACCAAAAAATCATAAATTCATAAATATGAAATTTTGAGCAGACTAATGACACAACTTACCTCCTTGAAATCTTGGTTCAAAAGAAAGAAATGGCATCCAAACACTTTAAAATGGGCGCTAAATCCATTAGGGGGACACTCTGAGCTTCTGATTGGTTATTCATGTCATATATAAAAGCAAGTGTATAAGGGAGTGTTTTCAAAAATGGAAGAGGTGGGTGGGGTGCCACTGTGTTTGATTTATTACATGAGCAATATCTTAGCAAATTGAAAAGATAAAAGGCTCTTATTCTATATTTTAGCTTGAATATCAGTAGTTTGAGTTCCTAATTTGTACAAAACTATAGACTTAGTATTTTGACATCACAAACATCTAATTTGTATCTGTATTAGATACATGTACATGCTTAGAAAATAATTTATTTTTTATAATCAAATCACATAATCTTAAAATTTTGTTAAACAAATGATGATGAGTTATGATGTATTCCACATTTAATGTGAAGAACATTGTATGACAACACATGTAGGAAGCAGTGATCTGTTTGAAAATAGCCTCAGTAAATTCAACTATATGATTATTCTTGTTTCAGTATTGAGTATATGTATGCATTGAGAAATTACATTCATTTTAAAAAACTTCCTCAGAGACAAGAGTAATGTTAGTGAAGTAGGAGCAAAAATGGTGGCGGGCCACAAGGCCCATCAAGATAACAACTATACAGCCTGAACAACATATATTTTACTTCACCTGTCAATCAAAAATTTAAAGTAACAACATCAACACCTCACTCAGGTAGTTAATTTGTCTTCTTCAGTGCACCAGAAGAAACAGGTCATTCTTTAGTAAACTTCTCATAATTTTGAATCATTCTTGTAGTTCATCTTTTTACAAAGATATTAGAAATAGCAAAGTTACAGAAGATTTGACCAATTGATGCTATCCATCATAACCAACCAGTCATATCAATCCAAACCCTTCATGGCCATGTTTTTTTTTTGTTGTTGTTGTTTAATTCTGAGACCTCTTATGATCATCGGGAGGTATCTTAGATGCCTATGCATCATCTCTTCTTCAGGTAGCCATCCCTAATTTGGCAGTGAAAGACTAGAGCATGAGTAGGCAATCAAATTTTTTTCCTGGCCATGGATGTGGTCAGTTGATCACAGAAATGGCCACACCAATAATAAAACATTACATTTTCACTAAATAAATTTACTTCAGGATTCTAATGACAGTCAAGATCAATTATAAACACAACACAAAAGTACAAAAAAAACGTTTTCAAAATCACAAGGTGTGAAATTTCAATGAGAGATTTGGCATTCTTTTTCTTTGACCAGCTAAAAACACACTATCAATGATTCAACGTGTTGGCCACACATTTTTGCGAAATGGCTACACATGGCCATTGGCCAATGGGCTGCCCACACAGGGACTAGGGGGAAGGCAGTTAGTTAGAACACTCCCACCACCTCTTGGGCTACTATTTTACCATTAAATAGTGGGATTTACTATCACATTATAATGCCCCCACAACTGAAAGGGTGAGCATGTTTGACGACAGGGATTGGAACCTCTGATCTGCAGATTGTGAGTTGAGCACTCTAACCACCAGGCTCTCACATCCATGTAACTGTCCAATAAAAGTTGTGGTATTTTTAGATGAAACTGATTTTCCTCTGAGTGATAGGATAGGCCCAGTGAATAATAGGAGACTCATCAAGTTATTTATTACA